ACGTATTATGTGCTTATTATGCCTTGTGCTGTGCTGTGGTATTATAATGCGCTGTTTCTATATGGGCACGGCTTTAAAATATTCAGAATTCGGGTTATACCGCGATAATGCCTTGATTACTTACATAAAAAACAATTATACATTTATTGCAGCTTGCAGAGCTTCTTTCTTGGTGCCTGCTGAGGTATACGCGGGTTTTAAAGATGCCGTATACTTACGCCGGTTATTTCTTTCTGATATATAATTTGAGATCGTGGATACCCCTATAAAAATTAAAACAGAAGCAACTGCTAAGCCCCCAATACAAATTAAAATAATTTGAACAATCCGTTTGCTAAAGAATTCTCCAATTGCTGATGTAAATGAAAAATTGGATTTACCGTCAGGTGCATCCTTCTCGGGCTTTTCACTATCAGAGACTAAGTCAGAAAGAACTTCTTCTTTATCTGAGGAACCTGATTTGGACTTCTTAGACTTATTTTTAGTGCTACTTTTACCTTTTGACTTTACACCCTCAGTGCTTTCCACATCACTCGATGAAGATTCTTGTTTCTTCGTGGATTTAGAAGAACCCTTCTTTGAGGACTTCTTGCTCATCGGGATAACTTCATCTGAGGAGAAATCCCCAATGGGCAGGGATAGGCTACTTGGCTTTTTCGGGTTAGATTCATTTAAGATTGGTAAATTAAGAGCAGATATGTTCTTGGTGCAGTGAATTAGTATACATAGTATAAATACCTGAATCTTTAATAAGTGTTTTATAGACATGTTCGTACAGGGCTGTGTTGAATGTTTGGTTTATATATTCCATATGAACAAATAAACAAATAAACCATCATCAGTATCCAGGGCGTGGTAGACTCCCAGGAACAATATACAAACCATAAATTGAGTCTATACGCCAGTGTTTGTATATTATGAATATCCTGTACACAATAAGTAATAAACCTACTTGTACTTAGAAAATGCATTACCAGCAGAAACACCAAATGGTATTTTTAAGGCACTCAGACTGCGTGCGTATGACTTAGAAGATAAGAAACTTGGTACGCTCATCCTGTACCGCGTATCAAAAATAAACACTAAGACTATCGATATAATAAAAAGACCAACCATCGACCTAAATATTATCTTGTATAAATAATGTGCAGGTGGTTGCCTGTGCCTGTACTTGTTCTTTATAGAGTAGTAGAGTATATCTGCTTCACAGCTTTTAATTAGTAACTGTAAAATAGAAAGTGTTGTTATTGTCATAAGAGTAGGTGAAATAATGGTTCTCTCAATGGCCATATCATTAGCTACCCTGTAATTAAACCCAAGCATGGTAATGTAAAACAGAAAGACCGTAGAAAATAGAATCCTCACCATATCATCAGTAATTATCCTTTCGATTGAACTGAACTTCCCATTGAACTGAACCACTAAAAGACTCATTATATACCCAGATAAGAATAATGTACTGCATAAAAGAGGAGTAATACTTATGCTGTAATAATACGCACTAATATACCCGCATACCATGCATATTATAAGGATAGTTCCCATACAAATAGTGACTGCCTTTCTTATAAAGTACCCTTTTATGGCTGAATCAGTAAATGTGGACTTAAATGCCCATATGCCTGTTATACACCCCATGCACAGAATATCATACGCATAAAATCCTGTGGGTTTACGGGATGCAGTAATATTCGTTATAAACATAAGAATAAGTATAATAATTGCCAAGTACTCCCTTATACTTGTACTTGCTACTTTTACGTACTTAGTATTCTTTAAGAATATGCATATACCCGTGCATACCACAAAAAATGAACTGGATACCCATTGAAGTGGAAACATCCCTAATGAAACAAGTGAATACCCGAACTTCTCCAGAGTGTTCATGCACGTATACACTGTGGCAAGTATCAGTAATAACCATGCAGTGCTAATTGCAAATACCTTTTTAAATTCAATACTTTGAAGATGGGCCCATATATAATTATACATGTGCTCAGGAACACTCTCCTTATGAGAGTATCCGGTAGTAGTATTAGGTATACTCTGTATCATACGCAATTTCCTGGATGTATCAGGAACCTTCTCATTTCTGATAATTTCTGTATTTTGTACGTTCTCTTCTGGTTTATTCATATAGTCCCATTATTACGCATATAAATAACCTGAAATTTCCTAATTCAGGCATTATTATAAAATTAATTTAGCCATCCCAGAAGTATTCGGAAATTTAAATTCCGGTCATCTGCTTTATATAAGATATCCACTATAATTCGGGTTATATCGGGTTGTTAAATATTCTGTTGATTATACGTATACAGAATGACTTGTCCATACTCCTGGTGTATATTACTAATTAAACCGGTATAACCCGATATAACCCGAATTCCGTATAGAATACTTTTCATTAAGCCCCGGGGTAATTCACACTCAGAATTTTTTCATATGAAATATCCAGTATGCACGAGCCTTTTATACCCACCACCACTCATAGAGTCACTGCATGCAGTGGATAAGTCCATAAATAAGACTTATAAGCACGATAAAAGTGTCACTGCATACGATTATATACGTTCTGGTTGTAGAATGGCAAAGTTCCTCCTGGTGGATACAATTGTATCATTAAGTGCCAATTGTATCTCAAAGAGCCTCGGTGCATCGGCCGTGTTCAATGCACTTACAACAAATGGTCCCCTTATAATGAAGCTGGGCCAGTTCCTATCCACGCGCACAGAAGTCTTCTCAGACGAATTAATCATAAAATTACGGAGTATACAAGACTCAGCACCAGAAGTTAAACTACAAAACCATCCATTAGACATTCTCTATAAGGAAGTGGGTGTCCGACTGCCAGATACGGCATTAAAACAAAGAATTGGTGCTGGGTGTATATCACAAGTGTATAAGGTACGCATGGGTAATAAAGACTATGCACTAAAAATAATTGATGAGAGCACGGCAGTGCGTGTGTCCACGGACATCCACGTCCTTGAATTTATCTCATGGGTATGCGGTGCCACCCGGTTTTACAGGGAGTTTAAGCAGAACATGCACGCACAAATGGATTTAAGAAAGGAGAAAATGAACACCGACCAGTTCAGAAGGAACTTCTCATATTATCAGTCCACAGTCGAAAACAGCTCAGTCATAAACCAAGCACTGTCTTACTTCATAAACCGACCCAGCTTTATATTCCCGAAGCCCATCCTGGCGACTAAAAGGATCCTGCTCACGGAGTACTGGCCAGGCACTAAGATACCCCCATGGGACAAGAATACTTCAAAGAGTCTCCTGATTATGTTCATGAAAATGATTTTCAAGGACAGGTTCATTCACTCCGATTTACACCCAGGGAACTTATCCGTATACACAGGTGCACGTACAGCACAGACAAGTAGTTCACGTATGCATACGCCAATTATAGTGTATGACGCAGGACTAACACACAGTCTTACACTAACACAGCGTAATAATCTATCAGATTTAATTAAAGCCATCTGCTTAGGCCATAAAAGGAGTGCACTCTCATTGATCATAGACAGGAACATGCTTAATAAGCATACACCACAGGAGAAGGACACTTTCATAAAAAGTGCCATTTCTTATTGGGGTATGTGTAATAAGAAATGGAGCACTTTTGACAGGGCACTTAAGATCTACTTTCTAGCGAGGCAGCATAAAGTCTTCTTAGACTCATCGTATACGAATATAATTATGTCTTCTATTTATATGCAGAACCACCTTAAGGGGATAAATCAGTTTGACTGGAGAATGGCCGTAATGAGTGGGTGCACAGTTGATTATTTAGATCTGCTCAGACAGTGGAAAAAATTTGCATAAAAAATCAGGAAATAAATAGAAAATCAGGAAGCTTATTATATTAAAAATTACCTAAAATAGAAATAATAACGGAATTATAATTTATACCACAATATAACAAAATATAACAAAATTATTAATAAATTATAAATTAATAAAATAAGAATAAAGAAGGATAAGCAGAAGGATAAGCAGAAGGAGGAGAAGGAGAAGAAGATATGGAGGGGATATGGAATATCAGTGGTATAAGACAGGTGTATATAAGGCATGATATAGGTGTATAAGTGCATATAGGGTATATAACCCGTATAGATGTATATAAGTACATAATAGGACAGGTACATATAGATCATGTATAAGTATGTATAAGTATATATAGGGCATACTATAGTATAAGTATATTATATATATAGGTATATATAGGTGTATATAGTATATAGGGCATGTATTATATAGTATATATAGTGCATGGTATAGTATATATAGGTGTATATGGTACGTATAGGTATATATAATATAAGTATATATACGGCATAGTAATAATTACATGTATATAGGTGTATAATAGGTATATAAGTATATATAGCACATGTATAAGCATGTATATATAGGTACGTATAGGGCATAATAGGTGTATATATAGTGTATATATATAGTGCATGGTATAGTATAATAGGTACGTATAGGGCATTATATAGTATGTATATATGTATATGTGCATGTGTTATGTCGGGTTATATCGGGTTATGCTTAAAATACTAATTTATGCCCATTCTTATGCTTAGTGTACTGATTATTAGTATCTGTTATGACCCTATCCATTTCTTCATATATAATCCTGTTGTACTCGTTCCCTGTACACAGCACATCCCGTGCCATTTTGAAATTATAAGCTGCTTCCTTGATGTACCCAGAACTAATCATCTTATTAACTGCCTCTCTGTGCACTCTTCTTGATAGTATAATACTGTATATATACTTAATATAATCATACTTATATGAATAATGTATACATATATACGTAAACCAGCAACATACAGTATGATTAATGCATAAACTATCTGTATTATACGTAGTAATCGTATTATATATACTGACTAACTGATTTATACAACCAGTCTTAACTACTTTATATATGAATACTTCTGATTGTAAATTACCATACAGTATATTATATACATACGTGCCTGGTCTAGATACTTGTACGGTTCTACATAAACACTCTACCATGGGCACCACACTCAATCCCATTATATAATTATATATATAAGATACTTCATGTACACTAATACTGCATAAATCAGTACTTGTATACTCTACATCTGGGTAGTATACTTTATGGTTATTATTGTATATGAAACCATACAGTATCTTATTACGTATACTTGTATCATCTAATGAAGTACTCCCTATAAGGTTATGCGTGAACCTTAGTACGTTATTATTATACGGTACGTATACGGACAGTGTCTGTGTTAAGAATGCCAGTATGAATAATGACTTATACTCGATATTATTGATACTTTTACACAGGAATGTACGTAATACACTTGAATTATCCTGGTTCCTGATGAGTGCACTGATCTCATTAATGGACTCGTATGGTTCATGTGCGTATCCTGAAGATACTTGTATAATCTCATTATTAATGCACTCTGTGATGAGGTACACTATAAAACAGTTTATACCCGTATACGTATGCATAAGATGGGTTAGTTCATTAATTATCTGTGTGTTATTGTGGTTGTCTGTTATTAAGGTAAGTTTAGTATGCTTATCCTGGATCATTAAGCATACTTCATTATGTAACCCGGCTGTAGATGTGAATATTATGCGTACATTGCCGATTATATCTGATGAACCATTTGCTAGTTTAGTGCACTCCATGGATGTACATATAATACGTATGCTTGTATACGTACATATAGGCAGTAATAAGGACTTAATACTCTCCTGTATATAAATAGTGTCACTCTCAGATAGGACTGATTTAATGCTTAGTTTGTGTAAATCATTCAGTGCCCCGGATAATTCGAGTGTCCTCCCGGTTACGCCTGCTATAACCCTGTAAATATTTATGAGGCCACTCATGATATTATTATTACGTATACGGTACTGTACCTGCATGTCCTCTAAATCAGATACGACTGTACACCATAATCTGTGCTTGTCCATATCTGTACAGTCACTGGGTGCAGTGTACACCTTAAAGAATCTAATTAAGTCTGATGAGGCACTCCTTATGTGTGCTGTTGTATACGTATTAGTATGCTCATCATACACTAAGCAGTAGAATAGGCCTAGAATAGCTGATTCTGCACAATTACTGTACTGCTCGTTATTATCCCTGGAGAATGCCCGATCTTGTCTTATATAAACAGGGACTCTTGTTGGTGTAGGTACTTGTCCATGGGCTTGAAGTGGGAATGTTCTATACAGGGACAGTCTCTTATTAATCGCATAAAACGGCATGACATACGCCATTTCTGAGCTTAAATCATCTTTATATGTGAAGCATGCATTAAATAATCTACGCCATGAAGACTTCTTCTTATGCACGGACTCTCCTGTGAGGTGGTCATCTAATATTTCATACACGGCCCGTATAAATTCGATATACTCCGATCGGCTCTGAATAAATTCGAAAATATACGACTGGATCAGGAACCGGGCACTGTTCATGAACTTACCCGATAAGAAACCTTCCCTTGTAATTGGCTCACTGAACTCGCCCTGTTTCCTTAAGTGCGGATGGGTCCTGCACTGTACAAAGAAATTAACCGTCTCTACAACTTCTGATTGATACTTGTCCTTAATACTCCCTGTGGCTGTATCTGTAACCCTAACGTATAACGGGACATTAATGAACTTCTTAGTGCTGTCTCTGTTATACAGGATAAGTCTATTTATACTCCCACTGTAATCAATGCGTATTCTAATGTCTGCACCCTCCCCTAGAAGTAATAATGATGCAAGTATGTACTTAGTATACGGTACAGTCGACTGGGCCTTTAAGAACGTAAATAATGAGTCAGGTATACTTGACGTAATCGAAATAACCCCATCACATGACGGGAACATTTTAAGTATCCTCGTATGGTACTTCCCTAAATACTTCTCAGTTACACCTCCTGTGCGTAAGTCTGTGTATACTTTATCGTGTACTGGGGTTCTTGTGTATACGTATTCTGGTGTGGTACTGCTCTTATTCTGGGATACTTTCATGGTGTAGCTGGTTTTAATTTCAGGTGAGTAAAACCGTTTATTATGCATATATGACCTATTAATGTAAATGTATCCATGTAATGGGTTGAGTGGTCCTGATGATTTAATTATAAACCTGTTCTGATCATCAATGAGTGTCCCTTGTATATCCTGTATGTCAGATAATTCCATCCTTGTACGCACTAATTGTAGCAGTATATTAATGATCATCCATACTCTCATCATGAAATTTGCAAATTTTTTATAACTGAGTTTCTATATATGGAAATATAATTAAGGTAATTAAGGTAATTAATCCTATTCGTGCTAATTATACATTCTATCTGTACGGTTTATGATTATAAGTTAAATACTTGATCCAATTAAATTTATTTCTATATGGTAAATACAACAGCAGTAAATAAGAATATACTCTTGAGTTATTATGCGCACATGCTGTGTATACGTATATCTTTAATGGATCTCTCATGGTGTAGTGGTTATCATTCTCGCTTGTCACGCGGGGGACCAGGGTTCGATTCCCTGTGAGAGAGTTCCTTTTTATTACTTCCCGAATTTTGCTTGAATGTACCCGTACACACACGCAATGGCCTTCGACGCCTGCGCCTCAGCATAATACTTCGTCACACCCAGGCACGCAGATAAACCAACACATAATAAGCCCACTTTGACCACCCGGCGCATCGCACCGTCTCGAGACGTCTTTGATACCTGCCCATTAATGCACGTGCAGTATAATACGCCCTGGGCACTCGTTATGCATGAAACAGGCGACGGGAATAACTTCTTCCTCCATAACTCAACCCCGCCCGTATACGCAATCACCTCGCCAGTGCCCGTGCCCACATAAAACCGACCGTCTCCCGTGGAGTGTACGGTAATGCACATAGGCTCAATCACAGTCCACGTCCGGCCGTTGTGCGTCATGTTTATAAGGGACTCGTCATCCTTCAGCTGGATAATGTACCCGAATGACTTATTCGCTGTATAATTAGTAATCACTCCATCAAGCATGACCTGCTCCTCGCTCTCCTGTGTAAGGAATAGGGCACCGTTCTTGGCCGTTGTATAAAGAACCGATGCACCGTTTGTGTAAAGTGACCGGACTTTCGATCCTTCTCCCAGCCGTACTTCTGCACTTTCTTCTTCTAAATCACTGCCCCGTTTTTCATTTTCTTCTTTTTCTGCCGTCTCCCTTTTTTCCTTTTCTTTTCTTATTTTTGAGACCTCTGCGCTGTACACCCGGCCCTCCCTTACGTAGTACAGAACGTCCTTCACTATCACGGGTGAGTGCATCCCGAAATAAAGGGGGAAAGGGCCTTCTATCTTCCCGGCCTCTATGAAAAATAGTTCGAATGAGTCGGGGTACTCTACAATCGCATACCGGTTGCTGTACACCTTCGCAGAGACAACTATCTCCTTGACTGTCTGTGACCATACTTCATTAAACTCTGTATCAACTAGTACTAACCTGTTCGGGAATCCGTAAAGAGGGTTTCCTCCACCCCCGCCCATCAGTAAGTGATTGCCAGCCTGGCCTATGCTCGTCAGTGGCATTCCTTCTTTGTATTTCATAGTAAACAAAAATATTATTCTTTTATTAAGGTGGCCGTGGAATGTTTCATATTTGTAGGGCAAGGTGGCCGAGCGGTCCAAGGCGCTAGGTTTAGGTCCTAGTCTTCGTATGAAGGCGGGGGTTCGAATCCCCCCCTTGTCATTTTTGCTATTGGTCTACGCACACGCATCCCATTCGTGCATGCTATAATCCTGTTTCACACTCCGCACATATACAGCCAGCGGTTTTTCTTCAACCATGCTTCTCTCTTCCCCAATGGCGGAATACTCGCTTAAAGAAACGCACACTTTTGAGTTTTTTCTTTTTCTAACAGACGCCTCCGAGCGGCAGTTGATTAAATTCGTTAATGACTTGGAGAAAAAACTGCTGCAAATAGCAAAGCTCTCATACCGCAGGATTAAGGACTCTGGCACTAAAATTTCAATTAGCACTTTCTCTGGGGAGTACTTGGAAATCATCCTTACAGAAATATCAAGTGCGTATAACATATCTATCTGTACGTCACTGCCGCCGTATCTGCTCAGTAACAAGAACAACCTTCTTATGGAGTTTGACCAGATATCCTCCTGGAATAACACAGCCATTCACTACAACTTCTTAAAGTCGCACTTCACAGTGACCATAACAGGAAATGAGAAGAAAGTCTTTAAAACAAGGACTGAGATGTACAAGCTCATTGAAAAGATGCACGGCCGTGCACCTTCCTTAATAAACACACCTGTTCATGCTGCGGATATTCTGGCCAGTGGTGGACACGTCTATTTTGAAAGTAAAATACTTTGCAGTAATGCTCTTCTTGCAGCTGCCTCCTCTGAGTACATAAGTGCTTCAAAGCCAAAGACTCCCGTATTTAAGAAAGATTTAGTAGTTGACAAAGTGTCTCTGCTATACTCGCTAACTTACATGCGGCTCTCTATTGAAGATATTCTTGTGAAGAATGAAACGTACATAACGAACATTTCATATTTAAACTCTACGGCATCTATTGAGATGACTGGATTCTGTAAGAAACTGTTGAAAGATGCGGTCTCTGAGATGGAAATGCTCTTTATATCAATTATAACCTTGAAAATTCAAAGGATTGACCCGTACACCACGGCAAAAGTGTTTTTGTTTAATCTGCCTGGTTATATTCTTGTTGTGGGCGAGGCATGCGAAGTAAAAAAGATTCTTCGTGAGATAGACATGCAGTGCGAAATTTCTGTTTTAATACCTCCAGCAATTGAAGAATTCATCTGTGGAAAGAAAAATGGCAAGTTAAACAAAGTCGCCAGAGAGAGTGACTGTAACCTAACAATACGAAAGGACGCAATGATTTCTGTGTTAATACAGGGCGGGTCGCATAATGCTGAATTCTCCCTAAGCATGATAGAGGATGAACTTCCAACGGAGCACTCCTTCTACCTCCATGAAAAGCACCATAAGAGAATTATTGGGTACGGCGGAAAATCAATTCAGAGGTTAATGAAGAAGAATGGAGTCTACATTAAATTTGACAGTACAACAGAAGCAGGACACAATGTAATCATACGAACACCAACGAAGAACAAAGAGTCTCTATACAAAATGTATAAAGACGTGATGGAACTTGCCGGAGAGACTCCTTATATGATGCATGGGGCCTGGCACCCTCTTTCATTCTCTGATTTCTATGCTTTAGGCGCACAGAGGTTCAGATTTAGAATAAATCTAATTGAGGTTTTTACACAGGAGCCAGTTGATATCCAGTACTACTTAGCAGAACTGCGGGCATCAGAGAAAAAAAGAGCCATTTACACCATAGGAGATAAATCTGTCATTGCATCTGACACGCATATTAGTGAGTCAGAGCTAATTACCACGGAAACATGGGCTAGTGCAAACTCTGCATCTACTTACTTCTCATGGAAGTATGAAGAGCCCCTTTTCTGCGATAAACTCATCTGGGGAAAGCATTGGAGAGAAAAGGGCTTTTCAGACTCTTGGAATAGCACGCCCTGGAAAAGTAGTTTCACAGAATAAGGAAAATAAATCTCTCTTTGTTTATGTTTATATGGATTCTTTGCTTGAAGATATAAGGAATGCCCTAGGAAGAGGGGACGGTATTAAAGCACTACTCCTAGACGAGTATACCCGGGATTCTATCAGCCCCATTATATCCCATGCAGAATTACTTTCATATGACTTCTTTCTTTTTGAAACCATTAGAAGTACCAGGCAGCCAATTGATGTGTCGTGTGTAGCCATTCTAAGCAAAACTAGCTTGCCCCTTCTTGCTGAAGAAGTTCAAAAACAAGTTTATAAAGAGTACTATGTCTTTATAACAGACGAATTATCAGATGCTGAAATTGAAGAAATAGCAAAAAAGGACATAAACGGGATAATTAAAGAATTACAAGAATTATACTTTCCGGGCATTCCAGTGGATGATAATCTAATTATTTTAAACGGCACAAATGATCAGGAAATAGCACAGTCCCTTGCATGTCTGTTAAAGGGGTTGAATGTTAGCCCGCGTATACGGTATTTGTTTGGTTCGGAACTTTCCTATAAAACAGCGATGTACATTGACGCTGGGGCTAAGTGTAAAAGTACTAATTCTGACATATTAATACTTGACAGAGTAGTTGACTTATTCACTCCCATTATGTACCCATGGACGTACCAAAGCATGGCAGCTGAGTATTTAGAGTATAAACCTGGAATGATCACCTGGGGGCATAATAATCTGTGCATTTCAAGGGATGATAAGTTCTTTAAAGAGTGTAAGTTTAAGGATATTGTGTACGCCACAGAAAGACTAAAAGACTCTTTTGAAGATGTAAAAGTGTCAAGAGAATTAGCTGGTGAGTTTATAACAAATGTTAAAAACAAAGCAAAGGAAAGTAACCGACTAACAATGCATCTTAAGGCCATAACAGAAATATCCAATGCCTGTGTAGAAAATGATTCTGTCTCTGAAGCAATGGCTGATCTAATTGAAGATGTGCCGATAAACCTATTAGAATCTATTAAGGATGCAACTGAGCAACAAAAACTAAGACTTGCTCTAATAGAGTATTTATGCGAGGTGACTGCCCGATCACCCAATATTCTAAAAACACTCTGGAAGGATAAACAGCAGAAATGGATACTATTCGATGGATACAAAAAAGAAATAGAATTATTCACAAAGACATACATAAAAAACTACCAAAACCTACGAAGGCCATCATATGAACGTAATCAGTCCAGAAAGTTAGGATATATTCCTGAATTAGTAAGAATAATTACTGATTTAAAAAACAATAGACTAAGCACCACTAAATACCCAATTGTACGTAATATTCCTGGCAATAGAAAGACCATAATTGTATTTATGGGCGGTGGAATAAGTTTCATTGAGTATCGGGCCCTTGTTCTGCTTTTTACTAAAGAATTCCCCAAGAATGATATTTTGCTTATAAGCAATAAGATTATAACTGCAAATGAGATTCTCTCCTCTATTTCCGTCAGACCAAAGTATTAAATATTTTTAAACTTCTGTGCTTCTGTGTATTTATAATTTATAATTCATTTCTTGTCACCCTATAAATAACTGCTTAAATAAGTAGTTATAAGAATGCCCTCTCTTAAACATCACTAAACACCCGGAAATTATATGGAATATTCTATAGCCTGAAAATTGTGCGATACTATTGTATATTTATTCTGTATACATATATTGTAGTAATACATATCATAACAGCGGTATAAAATGGTTTGCCCAGAGAGATGAAGATACATTGAGTGTATGACTTTGCCTGTTCTCTTTTAGAATATTTTCTGTAATTCTTTTAATGTCTGATACAATCACAGCACTTGCAAGTGCATCTGTATACTCTTTCTGGTGATTATTTGATAATGACTCATTTGGAACAACTATAAATGGAACGGAATGTGTAAGCAGAGAAAGAATCGTGCCAGTACCTGCGTGCGTAATTACAAGATCTGCACCCCGTATAAATTCAGTAAATGATGTATAATATGCTGTCTTTGTGAGATGTATTGATGTTTTGTTATGAATATCCAGTGATTTCAATGAGTCTGGTTCACTCTTTCCATATTGAATCACTATTTCATTATACTTCTTACTAATTATATCAAGTGAATATACAATCTCATCAATCAGTGCATTAAATCCAAATGTCCCCGTAGTGATCACTAACTTCATTAAATATTTTTTTATACAAATATAAATGTTCATCCAGTAGAATAATAGAATATTCTTATAATAATATAATGTCTAAATACTGTAATTATCTGATAATTACTGTATTTCTTATTCTAACTGTATAATCTAGAATACGTGAATATTAAGTAAATTTGCTTAATTAAGTAAAACACCTGAATTGTTTACATTTAATTAATTCTTATATTCCTGGATTTGTTTGGTTTATTACTATTTTCTATTTATATTATAAATGTGTACAGATTTAAATTTATTCCATACTATAATAATAAATGACTTGATTTCTTATAAATAATTATTTATATACTACTGTATATTTAGTACTGCACCCGTGTTTATGTACAATCTACGGTTTATATTTTAAAGTATTCATATAAAACTATCTGAGTTCGGGTTATAGTTGAATTTATCATCATAACTATAGATTGTACTGGCTTTGTTCTTTATTAACTGTTTTATATACGATATACTGTGTTTAATATATAATAATTTGTTGGTATAAGATGTGTGGATGCTCAGCCAGATGAATAGTGTGTGAGTACTGCGTGCTCATTTCTTGTACTTCATATGCTGTTAATATACTGGTATTATTAAGAATATTTATAATATGTAAGGCATAAATAGTATTTTATTGTTACTAGAAGAATAAAAATAAATTTACATTATTTATATTTAATACAGAGTAGGTATAATATATCAAATATAAATTATAAATAATATGCGCATGTAAGCTTATGCTGAATTGCTTAATGACTCTAGTGATTGAGGCATTATTACAATAAAGATAGAACAAAGTATAATTGCTGTTATACAGTGTGTTATACTAAATCCTACATGGAAGCGTGATCCAGTAAAGCTAGAAAAAGACAGATCATTGTTCTTATTTGTATTTATGCACTTATATATAACTCCTACTATAAGCTGGAATATATGCATTGCCACAAAAACTAATAAATCTATGACAAAACTATATCCAGAATTAAGAACTGAGCTTGCCAATCCCCAAAGTACAATTAACCCAATAAATAAACTATCCAATAGCAATGCACACGGTTTAGACATAGTGTATGAGTTCACAAATAATTTACTTCTCCAAATTGTCATATACCTAATAGTGCCTACAGCGTAAACTATTATGCCCCACAGCATAAATATAGAAGTTAAAAGAGGAAAGTCATCAAATTGGGATTTTAATGCGATTCTTCTATCTGGAGCAATATCTCTACCTGCTGCTACACCATTAAATATAACAAAAGGTACTTTTGCAATGATCATTATACTATAGTAAAGCATCATGGGTAAAATAAAGTATTTATATACATCACTTGCTATTCCAATACATGTTTTGGCATATACTCCATCTCTAGTAGAAAAATCTTCTGGTTCGTCTAGGCCCAAAGACATTTCTGCTAGGCCTTGAACGGATTCTTTATTTAACCTTTTTTTGATTTTATTGTAGGGCTTTTCTATTTTTTTCATATCTATGTCCATGCTCTCTAATACAGCTGCATTGCAATTTTTCATTCTATAAAATAATATTTTATCTATTTATATGTTTTTATATTTAGATATATCAAATTTTGTCTTTATATTGAATTGTTTCTTAGAAATACTTTTTGGTAAGCTTTAAAATTCATTTAATTCACATTTCTTATTTATACTTTATAATACTAAATTCAAATCTTTCTGGTTTAATCCCCTGCGGTTTGGCCTATTATCTCGGGTTATAGTATAATCTTCATCTTAAATACTTGCTTCAATTTCACATCTTCGCACACCCTCTTATAATAATATATTTTTATACTTATGTTAATATATTGATATTTCTATAAATATACAATGTTCTAATAATTTATATATCATCTGGTTTGTGTCTGTCTTAGTATGTATTTGACGTACTCACGAGGAGTAACGCCATCCCCACCCTGCTACGTAACCAAGATAGAGAAGAGTGTGAAAGGCGAGAGCTCTTTATTGTCTTTAGAAAGCGACCTAAGCCTGTGCGAACTCGAAGTCCTAAAGCACAGCTGTGTTAGATCTGGCGCTGAAGTTAGCTGTCGATGCTTCCCAAAGTCTCCTCCTAAGTTAGAGAAGAGTTTCGATTAAATAGTCGAAAGTTGTTATACTGACTCTTAGATCCTAACATTTTATCATGGCGGCATCATTGTGCAAGATGGTGCGTAGAAGGATCGCTCTCATGTGTAAGCCCATGAGTGGTGGTGCCATCACAATAATTCGGGTTATAATTGTTTCTTCAGTAATAGTCCATATGTATCTTATTACTAATATTTTTTTGTTATAGTTGTAAATTATAAATAAACACGTATATAATTCCATTGTAATATAAAAAGTGAAAGGATTATTTATAAAAGAATGAAAATATTTAAAACCAATAGAATAGCTTATATTTAATAATAAAACATACAATAAATATAACTTAAACATTATAATGACTAGGAATTATATAAGAAATAAACCACACCAATTGAACAATTATATACACCAGAGTATAACACATAAACAAAACAACTAAAAAACACTTGAACCAAAAGTATTTAGTCAACTATAATACATATTTATATTTCTGTATATAATAACCTATTGCGTGGCATATAGGAAGAGAATATTATAGAATATTCTTGTACTAAATAAAATTAAAATAGAGAATCGTTATGATTTTTATTAACTAGTAGTATTTTATGCCTGCTTAAATAGTAGACTCACATTATTAGCATTTGATTGTTTACATAATTTACTATTATTAATAGCTATTAAAGAGTGAATTTAGGATAGTATAGTGCAAACCGAGTTTAGACTTTGTATAATTAACTTCCTTTATGGTTATGTATAGTTTAGAAATATTTAAAACATCTAAAGTATCTATATCTTGGAAATTGTTTAAGTATTGAGTGTTTTCTTTTAATCGTGGGCTAAGCATATGATGCATTTCATGATCCTCACAGAACAAGCCTTCCATGCGGGTTTTCATTTCTGAGCATAGTAAAGAGACTGTAAAGATTTTGCTTGGCATATTTTTTTTTGTATATATGCATACTCCATAACGAAGCATGTCTTGTGACACATGCTTTCTTTGAATTATTTGTAAGAACGAAGATATCAGGGAAGCTCTCACCAGATCTGACATATTAGTATATAATTGCGACTTTGATTTTATATTAATGCTGTAGTTATTGTACTCTCCTATACCAAGTTGTTTTTTCGTGGTCCAAGACATCTCTATTATATCATCTTTTAATTCTTTTTGATTAAATTCCATGCCATAGCAGCCGCAGTCTTCATATGGAGTGTTTAGACCTAGTATGTAGAAATCGCTGTAATAGTATATTTCATGTCTAAACTTTTTAAGTAGTTCTATAGTTGTAAGTTTTAGATCTTTTCTTTTGACTAAAACATCCAGCCAATTGAAAAATTCAACGGCAATTGGGTTTTGGTAGTCTTCGTTGGATATAATTTTATATTTTTCTGGCTTTAGAACATATGGACCAAAATGCACTGCAGAGGTCATTAGTCTAGGTAGAAAGAGTGGGATTCGTGGTGCATCATTATTTGGCACATACCCATCAAATAACTTCTTTGCTTCTGCTTCGTTTTCTCTATATGCAGCATTAATTGTCTCTGCATCAATAGGGTTAAACTGTGCAAACACAAACTCAGTAATTTCTATATTCTTTTTCATGTAGTAGAATACAACATTGAATCCATCATTGTGCATCTCTTCTACGGTCTTGTCCATGTCACATATCTCATCGCTATTCTCAAGTCTTCTTTTTTTAATCTGATCTTTTTTAGGCTCGGGCCTAGTTATCATTGACCACGTCTTATCCTTTCTGCTGTATTTAAATGGATATATAGTATAGCGCGGGTTTTTATTGCTATTTATAATTACAGCATAGAATGTGTCTATTATATACTTTGCAATTTCCTCAATTGTGTGTATATAGTGATACGATATAGTGCCATTCTCTGTAGTTACAAAAAAGGGAAGATGTATAACATGCATGCAATGTGTACTGTTATCTACAAGCTGAACATGATAGTGCTGTGTATAAGACAGCATCGCGTAATTCCTACTATTATATGCATAGATAGTCTCTTTATCTTTTATTTTATCCAATACTCTACTTTTCTTCTCTGTGCGATTGTATTTAAATGACAGAAACAGCATTTTGGTATTAATTGCTAAAATAACATTCTTTCCTTGATATAGGTTTTGGTTAGATAAATGCATCTTTGTATATTTTCTCATATACGGGCAGCTGTTTTTATTCATATCTAAAAAAGAAGGACTAGCTGTGTCGAGTTTTGTATTTTTTGTATATAAATGCAAGGAATACTTATAGAAAAAAGCAAATGTGCTAAATGCAGTTTCATACACACTAATACCATCACAGTTGCGTATAGATTTTTTGATTTTAATATTTAGTATGTTTTTGTACGCGATACGCATAATTATATTGTCATTATGAACTTTTCCATATAAGTATTTTATAATACAAAATCGACGCCATATGTTTTCATATTTTTTATTAAAAGTGCTGACCAAGATTTTTTGTTTTAGCAGACCAATATCTTCATATTTCATATAAAAAAGATCTTCATATATTTCTGGAATGCATAGAATTAATAGCAAATGCTGTTTTAGATTCCAGTCTTCTATATCTTCTTGCAAGATATTATTAGAAAATCTCTGTAAGATCTGATTATTATGAGAGATTAACATACTTTCTGCATGCCACAGAATATTTATATTTCTTTTAGCGTATATATCACTAAGTGTAATCGTGCTTGCATCGCGTTCTACCAATTTGTTTTGTATAGAATATTTTTTAGGAATATTATAAAAAGACGCACACTTGATATTTAAATCTATTAAAATTCCTGGATAGTAGGACAAATTACAATTTTCGAACATTTTGATTTCTTGTTGGGGATTCCTGCATAGACACCATATAAAACTAATTCTTTCTTTTATAGTTTCTTTTTTAGACATACACAGATATGCCCATACATTGTTATATTGATCAGTAATTCGGGTTGTGTTATCAATTTCGGGTGTATATGATTTACTATCTATAATAAAATCAAAATATAATAGAATGGATGGATTCTCTTGTTCTTCATCGGTTTTTACATCTTCTAGATACTTTAGTTTATAATCATGCAGAGCTGTTACAATACTTTTATACTCGTCTGAATTTCGAATAGATGACGTTATAAAGGAGATTTTCTTTAATTCATTAACAGTGTTGTAATTTATATTTATAGAAATGTATGATATAGCACTTTCAGAGTTTTGATTTTTTTGTTTTCCATCTATAGATGTACTTGTTGTTTGAGTGCTTTCTAGACTCTTGGTGATTCTAGACAATTTTTTGTTTTCACTGCAGGCAGGAGGAGAATATGGCATTGGATTTGTAGATATATTTTCGGGTTGTATATTATTACAAGCAAGATTAGTACTATTTAATTCAAGTAGTGTATATTCTTTCTCTGGGTTATATTTTATACTTGTAGAAGGTGAGCCAAATGTATGTGGTGTTTCTGGTTCAACCCAGTTATTTCTGAAGAGTGTATTATTGAAAGAACTATCTTGACCAATATATGAACTGTTTGAATATTCACTATTTAACAAAGAGTAGCTGCTGTTATAGGAATTATTTGTATAATTTGGATCAAATAGATTTGAAACTGGTATGTTATCTAAGTCTTCTGGCAAATCATTACTGGCATTTAAAAAATCATCCAGAATATCATATGAATTATATTCTTGTTCTCCATATATTGGTTGTTCATCATAAGATGGTTCTTTTAAATTATTCACAGACACATTTTCGGGTTGGTTGCTAGAATAACTTTGCTGTAAGAAATAATTATTACTTGTGCTATTATTTAATGTATACTCGCCTTCCCAATTGGAAGCAGAAACAATGGGTTTAAACCCATTTAGTTGTGTTATGTATATTAACATGTACCAAATAAACAGAACTATTGTCTTTCTTTTAATTATTCGGAGCATTTGTGAATTTTTCATATTTTACAAATTAAACCAGTATATATCTTATTTTCAACTAGAATGATTTAATATAAAGTATTTGCATATCATAAGAAATAAATATAAGAAGAATTATTGGACCAATATAATCAACTGTATAACCCGAACATGATAAAATAATGTATATTTAGATAAAATATAAGAGACTTCTCTATTCAGAAGACAAAATATACTTATTCTTATAAGTATTAAAATAAAATAATTAGTATATTCATATACTACTGCTCTATAAACACAGCCGGGTTTCAAATTCGTATAATCAACAGATGGAGTTCTGCTTATATAGTACAGTTAGTAGTGTTCTAATTTTATTTTATTTCTCAAAGGAATAATAGTTTGGGCTATTAGCCATAATTATTGAATTATATGCAAGTATAGAAAAATAAATTATTGGTTTTTATTCTTATATATTCTATTTGTACATTTACTAGAAAATAGATCAAACAAGATAAAAAGCATCAAAGTACAAGAATTATTTATATTTCTGTTAGAAATAACGTATAAATAGACAAATAAGAGATTATTAGCTCTATTTTATACCGATATATTCACTTGTAATATACAACAAATATATTTATTTGTTCTTTCATAATTTATTTTATTGGTTTATAATCGTATAACTACTGTGGTGCTATAATCATAGAAGTTATAAATTGAAGATATCATTTGTTTAATTTAAATAGAAAATAACCAGTTATTTAAATGACAAAAGTATAAATAGTCTGATAAATCACTAATTTATAATGAGAAGCATTAAGATATTATTAATTATATTCCTACTATGCATCTTGATCGCAATTGGAATAGTTGTATATGAAATAAGAGAAGAGATAAGTGAAAGTGAAAGTGAAACTAGCAGCGAGGCATATGATAGCACAGCAAATACTATAATAAAGCCATCTACCAGTGCTCAAAAAAACCTCGATCCATCCACACAACAGAACAAAAAACAAGCTACACCAATAGTGGCGCCTGCTGCTGTTGCTATCAATCCACATCCTTATATGGTTAATAAACCCATTGATGATAAAGTGGTGCCGACAACATTAGCCACTTCTAAAGTAGGAGTATCCAATAGATGCACTTTAAACAGTACATCGTCATTGGGCAATGTTTCTACTAAAGAAAATCATGGTAATATTCACGATTTGAATTATAAAAAACTAGAAGAGCAAACTCAAAGTACCCAGTCCCCAGTAAATGTTGAGAAAGATGATTTGGCTAAAAAGGCAGCTGCACCTACAAAATCCACAGCCAGTGGAAGCAGATTGTATCCACGGTTAGAGGATGATATTAATGACGAAAGAGTTTCTATAGATTCTTCGCCAAAATATACAGAACCCACTACTGTTTATGCACATAAACCAACACAATTAAGTGCAGGGCCTGTTACTTCACATGCTGCATTAGGCTTGGATGGCCAGCAGACTACATCCCTATCTAGAGGAATAGATGCAGTTTCTAGTATAACTAAAGAAAAAGAAAAGGAGGAACAAAAAGACTCTAGCAGTTCACCAAAGTTAAAAAAGAAAATGGCTTACAACAGACTGCTCGTATAAATGAGGAAGAAGAAGAAGAAGAAAAGCATCTAGAGTCTAATACATCATCATTCGATATAATT